CAACCCTGTGGGTTTAAATGTAGAATTGCATACGGAGTGTCGATGTTTCTGTGATTTGTGGTCACCATGTAATACCGCAGGACGTGTTGCCTAATCTGAACAGAACTCTCACGAATTATTTTCCAGAGTTTCACCTCGTTTGCCGGTGCATATCATGCATACAGTTCTGGAGGCCTCAAACCGTGGACTGTTGTAAGTTTGAGGAATTTGGAAAACTGGAACGGGATCAAAGCACAACCAGCTTTTTCCGCGAAACCTCGCCATAAAGGAGAATCGAACTTACCAAAAGAGTACAATCACCCTCACCGTAAGGGCGATGTCATAGTCTGCGAATCAAGCATTCGCTAGCGAATCGCTCGGTTCGCAAACTATGACATCGGCCCAACCGACACAGGACACCGTAGGGAGTTGGCAATGGTTCAAGCAGGGTCGAAACTACTTTACCTTAGGTTAGCCCTTTACTCTGCGCTCTCTTGCAGATCCCTCCCCTCCCCAAAGAAGACTCAGAGTTTAGAGCGAATTTGGATTGAGGCTAGCGAAACGGAAACGTTGCAGATAGTGGGGTTGACATGCACCGCGATGTTCGGAGTTAAGGCCCAAAATTAGCAATATGGTCCCTGGGAAGGATCGGAGAATGGAAGCCGCACAAATCTGCTTCTGAAAGCCGCCACATGACTGAGTATGAGCTTGCCAAATGAAGTGTTATTTGAACTTGTATCCGATTCCGTGCGTTCCTGATGGATAGTGAACTAGTTAGGTCGATATCTAGACGTCTGTATTGACGGCATATTTTGTCATTCACTCAAAAAATGTATGTGAAAATCTCCATAGATATCACTTCACGAACAGATCAACGATCTTATCCTTGCAGGATAGTGCTTCCGAACTACCAGACTATACAGCTTATTTCATTTTTATGGCATATCATCTTTCTTCATATTCATTAGGTCTTATCCAGAAAGAGCACGATATTTGGTTAGTTTTGAGGGTTTTTTCATTTCTTTGCCCTTTCCGTTCTTTCATTCTCAAACTTGAAAAATGCAGTCATAGGAAATGTTAAAGGAATCTTGCGCGGAAAATTCTTGCACTCTTTCCTAACATGAATATGTCAGTTGTGATCACTGGAAATAGCACACAAAGTTTCACGCATGAAGATTCGG